TTAAGTTCAGGTCGGTTCAGGAGAAACGGGGCGCCGAGATAGAGTCTAGCGCGCCTTCCCGTCTTTGTCGAGTGGGGATGTACTTTGTTTCCTGTCAGTAGTTAAGAAGGTGGAACGTTGCTTCTTGGCGGCTAGGCGTTTCCTCCCCAAGTCGTAGTTGTCGGCATATCGCAACTATTACGCCTTTCTGCGTCGAAAGCACGGCACACACGTGTCTGGACTGCAGGCCCTTGCCGGCTAGTAGGCATTGGGCACGTGCAAGAACAGGGACACACGCAGAAGTAGGCACACACACGCACACTCACACACACACGCCCAAACGCCCAAACACGCACACATGAGCTATACCCACCTCCCATCACAATGTGGCACATTATTGCCGCACGGCACATTTTGGCCCATATGTGGCCGCAGGTGCGGATATGAAGGCGAAATGGCGCACGCCATGCGTGCGCCATGTCACCTTCATAATTTTTTTTCAAAGAGAGTGTGTGGTGTTGTGTGCCTGTTTCCTTCTTGTTTGCCTGTTTCCTTCTTGTTTGCCTGTTTCCTTCTTGGTTGGTTGTTTCCTTTTTGTATGTTTGTTGGCAAAATCAGGGAGGTGGTGTCGATTAACCAACTCATAGAAAAACCCTCACCGTGGAAGCCTTTCAAAAACATTGCCGGTTGTGGGAATTCGGCGGGAGGAGTGCAGAACGCGCGCGAGGCACCACACCCACCCAAAACCCAAACAAAAGGCCATCCATTGCTTGCTGAGCTCCATTTTCACCGGCTTGTTCAGCATGAAGAAGTTTGTCTCTGTGACACGGACCTTTGCCAGCCTGGGCCTTGACCCACGTGTGGCGGAATGTGTGGAGCACGTGGAGTGGGTGAGCGACCTCGTCTGCAAGGCGAGTGATAAGGTGCTGGAGCAGCTGCTACAGAGCACAGAGGGAGTGGATATGAAGAGCGAGCTCCAAGAGCGAATCAAGAAGCGAAAAGAGGAGGAGGAGAAGAAGAAGAAGGAGAAGGAGAAGGAGAAGAGCGAGAAGAAGCGCAAACGAAAAAGGAAGCGCCGCCGGCGGCGGCGAAGGAAGGGGCCTGGTCAAGGCAAGTCATCAGCCATCCCGCAGGTCGATGGCTTTGGGCCAGAGGACGTTGATGCGCTGCTCGCTGTCATCTGCAAGAAGAAGGTGCCAGCCCACGATGTCAGTACGAGAGAGGCCCAGCGCGTGCTGGCCTCGCCTCGCCGCGCTGTTCGTCCTACGAAGCAGCCTCGCCGCGCTGTCCGCGCTAAAAAGCAGCCTTACCAAGCACCAGGCCTATGGGAGGCCCTCAAGGTCTCCACAACAGCCTTCACGCGGCAGACATCGGCCCTTCGCGGCGTCAGCCGCACAATGCCAAACGCGACCACCCCAGTCAACACGCCACCACAGATCAAGGCCATCGCACACAACCTCCTTGACATGACCTGTCGAACGCTTCAAGGAGCCCTGAAACTCCACATCAGGCACGCCCCAGCACGCTGGCTGCGTACTTTCAGGTATGTGCGGCAGAAAGCAAAGGAGCAAGAGCAGGAGGACCAGGAGGACCAAGAGAAGGACTCAGTTGAGGATGATCTTGAGTACGCTGAGCTGCGAGACCTGCTCACAGATTGCAAGACAAATGAGGAGCGCCTGGGCTTTGTGTTTGCAGTCAAGCAGGCACTGCGGCAGTACAGGTGTGTCTGATGCATGTGTCCATGTGCACTGCTCGTCGCTCATGTCAACTACTATCTCACACACTCACATGCACCTTGTCTCCTTGTCTTCCTGCTGCGCAGCCACATCCGTTACAAGCACCCACCGCTCCTTCCCCTGTTTCGAGGCACAAGACACCTGCGCTTCTCCAAATCCACGCTGCGCCTCCTCAAGATACAACCCCGTCAAGGCGATGGGTCTCGCCTTGATGACTTCTTCAGGCCAAGGCGCCCTCGAGACCACGAGCGGCTAAAGGAAGCGACGTCCTTCGTAACGGACGGAGTCGCAGCACACGTCTGCCTGCAGGTAGAGGAGAAGCCGAAGGGGGCTGCCAAGAACAAGAATGGTGGCAAGGTCGTTGCGGATCAGAATGCCAGCAAGGGCAAGTTGACCAAGAGCCAGCGGCGCACAAGATCCCGTCGTCGCCGTCGCCGTCGCCGTCGCAAGTGTCGCTTGCGTCAGGGGACTGCCCAACCAACCGTGGTTGGGTGCGATCCCGGCGTACGCGTCCCAGTGACACTGGCTTGCGTACAGACGGGGCGGGTTCTGCGCTACAGGCAACAGCGCTGGGCAAACTTCCTCCACTGTCGCCTTCTCTCGTCGAAACAGAAAAAGGCGCGACGGGAGAAAAGGCAGGCACACAAGGAAGCATGGCAAGCAGCGCAGCAAGGCGTGGAGCAGCAGAGACCCATACGACATCCCCATACGATTGAGGAGCTGGCACACCGCCAGCATACTCGGACAAGTTCACAAGACGGCACAGGAAACAGCTGCTCCATGGCTTTTTGGCACGGCGGCGGGACTTGCGCGCGTTCAATTGCGAGTCGCTAAAACATTACCCGGCGCCAAGGTTTTTGACTACGTGGCAGCAAGTGAAGTTGTTGTTTCCCCGAGTGTCACACCTGCCTGTGCCTGCGTGCGTACACTGTGTGTCAATGTTGTTGGCTCTCTCACTGAGATGCACGCGCTCACTCACACACAGCAACGACTTCAGAACTCGA